AACAAAAAAAAAGAGTTGTTGCTTTCAAAGGCCACAAAAGATACAAAAGAACCGTCACAACTTACACCATGGTTAACCTTCCGTCGACCCAACTCTTCCACCATTAGTGTATGCCCAACGACACCCCTTCGAATAGGTTTCTGTAATAAATTTATCATAGAAGTCATTGAGCAATACGGTGCATGCGTAGAGATTTTCAATTAATCAACTCCAGGTAAAATGCAGAAGAGCAAGTAATAAGTAGATTGATTGAGGTAAAACTAAAATGATTTCACCCTCAAAAGTTTCACCTTAGAGAAGAATACCTCAAATAAGAATGTCGAATAATAAACAGTTATCAAATCCAAGCAAGTTATCCGGATAACTCAAGATTATTTGATTTTAAATATACAAATTTATGGTTGTCTGTATTCTTCCTTGTAGTCCTCACAAAATAAGACGAAAATATAGCTTCATCGCTGGCCAGCTAGATGCAGCTAAGAATTTGAAACATTTTATGCTTCAACATGTAAATCTGAAATTTAGCAGAAAATGTACTGCTTGACAGTAACTCATGAAATCCCAGATATCACAAATTAAAAATAAATAAATTATCTAGAGCTAAGCTTTAGAACAAAATCCAGGCACCAAAACTCAGCTGGAAGGGGAAAATTTAATCAAAGAACTGTTAAACCTCAAGCTCAACCACACTCCTCTTTGCCATAGTCAAAACTTAATCATGAAGCTTTCAAATAGATTATCTCCGTCTAACTTAACCAAAACCAGGATGAAGGATATGAAGAAGAAGAAAACACGAGGTACGTACGATTCCGGGGTTCTCGTGTGGGTCGCGTTTGTACATCTCGACATACTTGCCGCGAATGAGGAGAAAGCGAAAATGGCAATACTCGTGTCCGATCGAATTGACACCGAGGTGATAGACCCAACCGGAGAACTCCAGCCTCTCGCTGCCGTCGGTGTTGCTTCTGATGCTAGTGGAGCCACCATTCTCCTCGCAGCTCGGCGACAATTTCTCCGGCGAGGCCACACCTAGAGTTTCCTGAGAGGCTCCTTTGCTGTCCACCTTGTTGGTCAAGGGGCCAGAAGCCATTTTCCAAGAATGAAGATCTGCAGAGGCGAGAGAGAGAGAGAGAGAGAGAGAGAGAGAGAGGAACGACGACAGGTAGGACTATTGATTGAAAGATATGGTTAAAGTAGTCTAGTATTATTATTATAGCATCGTGTTGATTGTTGACTGGAAACGCGGATGGGCGTCTACGTCTGCGTGTTAGATTTTTTATAGGGCAATGCTATATGTACACCCCTTTTTCATAAATTACACAAAGGACAATGCTATATGTACACTCCTTTTTTACACACAAGGGGGTGTACATATAGACACCCCCTTTTTTATATTGCAATTAAAAGATGAGTTCATAGTCGGGGCATATCTTTAGATATCGTGATTGATTAGCAAAAAAAAAAAAGATGAGTTGTTGTACTAATTCCATCCACGAGGCCTTCTCTTGTCTTCTTCACGACTCTACATGTCTGTATTATTTTTACGCGTGTATGTTTTTTACAACGTTTAATACTAAATGTCCGGACACCGTGTAACGATCGGGATTTTCAATCCCTCTCTTAAATAGGTATTATATTTTCATAATAATTGGAATTATAATCATATTAGAATCATATTAGAATTATATTGGAATTATAATCATAAATGGTTAAAGCTAATCAGACGTTACGCCGACAAATCAGACGTTACGCCGACCGGCGTATCGTCTGATTTTCTCGAAGTTTCAGGAATGGACACATTCAATACTCGTGTATTATATTAATATTTTAAAAAAAATTATATTTAAAATTAAAGTTTTAAAAAATATGGTAATTTTTAAATATATTTTAATTATACTATTATTTATATTTAAAATGACACTCGTCTCTTATACGACTTCACATATTATATTATAATAATTGTGTAACTTATATCATCAAAGTAATTTGTAGTTAAACTATTTTAAATCTTTTTTTAATTTAATATGAAAATATAATTTAAATTTTATTATAAATATAATTAGTTATTTGTTTTTATGTACATTCATATGTCAGTTTGAAACTCATCAAGACATGATTAATTTGATATATTATATAAAAGTTATAATAAAAAAAAAAGTTATTAGCTTTTAAATATATTTATAATTTATGTTAGTGATTTTTATTATAATCTATACATAGATAAAGAGATAACCTATTTATTAAAAATAGTAACAAGAAAAGTCAACCAGCATTTATTGCATTTTATTTTCGGTTGTTTTTTAATTTTCTTATTTACACTATTCCCAAAAAATCGAGCAGCTATATATGCACCTTAAATTTATGGGTTTTGTGTATTTGATTTAGGTAATTTCGACTAATGCATGCAATTTTGCAAAAGTCAAATTTTTTTCTCATTTTTTTATAAAAAAACTGATTACCATAAATCAGGAATTTCGAATTAGGCAAAATACTTTCGCATATATCTTTTCCTAATTGCAAAAGATCAATTGTTTATTAAAAAAATAGGACTGCATAGAAATCGGGTTGATTTATGTAAAATTCGGCCGTAAAAGTTGAAATTCTCTCATTTTTTATTAAAAAAAAAAAACTGTTTACCATAAGAATTTTAAATTAGGCAAAATACTATAACATGTGTCTTTACCTAATTGCAGCAGATCATGTTTATTAAAAAAATCGGATTGCATAGAAATCGGCTCAATTGCAAATTGATAATTAAAATTTAAATATCTCATATCATTTGGCTACTACTTTCTTTAGTTTGAATTTTTCTAAACATAAAACAAAGTTAGATAATATTAATTTAAAATTCAAATGAAATCAGATTGGAACATCCTAAAAATTTGGGTTTTGTTTAATCCTATAGAATACAAATTTGAAATTGATTGCATATGCGTACACAATTTTTTCTTCCTTAAGTTAAGTAATTTACAATTTTAAAATAATAAAACTATAGATTATCAAGAAAGACGTTTTACAATCTCCGTTATATTTGCTATGCAATCTTCATAAAACTAATATAAATCATATCATATATATCTCGCTAAATAATTTAATTGATTTATTTAAGCCTATTTAGAATCCTAATATATTTAGGTGCCAAGTGTTTATGTAAGGCCCATAATATTATTTACTATTTATGGAACTCGACTTTATGTTCATAAATATTAAGTTTCCTAATTTGGTGCATTTATTATTATTAGGTGCGTTAAATCGAGTAATTAGTTTAAAGTCTAAGTCATGGAGAATTTATTCGATTTTGATTATTAAAGTCGGATTTATTTACCCAAGTATAGGTCCTATTTTTAAAACCGAGTCTTGGAATGATCAGAACATTATTTAAGCGGACCGAAGCCGAATAATTAATTTATTTGAGCCTAATCATTTTTTAGCGAGTCCAATTATTTTAGTCGGCCCATTTAAGTTAATCGAGTCTATGTTCGATTTTATTTCAGCCTATTTCAATTAATCGAGCTCATGTTCGATTTTAATTTAGTCCAAGTCTCGATTCATTATTTTAATCGAGTATTATAAAAGACGGAAATTTATTCAATTCCCAAACGAGCCCACTTCCCGAGCCCATTTAAGTGAGCCATTTTTAATCTGGTCACCCGGCCAAATTATTTTATTTGTCGAGCCCAACATTTAATTATTCGGTCCAAGTAGCGGTACTTAATTATCTAAGCCCGAATCGATTAAATACCGAGCCCAAGTCAATACATAAATTAAAGCCCAAGTGTAGTATTTTTTCTAAGCCCAAGTAGTATTATTAAATTGAGGCCCAATTTCTACCAAAAACCCTAACGTTAGTCCACCTATAAATACATCATCCTCTTCCATTCAAGAACTTAAAACCCTAGCCCAAAATCACTATTCATCATCTCCACCTTCATTATTCAAGAACAAGCTCAAAGTTCATCATTTGCCTAACCTTCACATCACAAAAACCAAGCATCCAGCCATTCTCACATTTTTCGGCGAGCCCAACCATTTTTCGGCAGTACACCGGCCGCGGCGAGCCCTAGCCGACCCAGCAGCCCAGGCCCAAGCCAGCAGCCCCAAGCCCGCAGCCCGCGCCTCTCCCTTCACAGCCCTCCCATTTTCAGCAGCCCTTTCGATTTTTTTTTTTTTATTTCCAATTGAGACTCCAGTTATAATTACTCAAATTACCTCCCAATGTTAAAGATATAATGTCCATTAATTAATTCAATTACTGACAATCAAGAATTAATTAATTTATTATTATTTCACCGGAGCTAGCGCTCGTTCACAATATTCTTACTATGTCGGAATTTAATCCACCCGCAGGGCTTAGCATTATAATCCTTCATGAACTCACTACGGGGACATCATCAAACTAAACGTACATGGTAACCGTAAATATTCTAATAGCACATCATACATACATCAATATTATCCAAGACAGTGGGCCTATTGGTCCAGTTCACTAAACCTCACCCGTGTGAATCAAAACAATAAATACTGAATGTATATGTCTATTTAATATCTTACAGATTAAGAGAACGCAGTAATTAACCGAGGCCTAGTTCGTCTACGACGATCAGTATAAAACGAACTGCTCCTCTCTGGATCTTGTTCAATACATATATGTACTAGTGCAATTAATCAGTCAAGACAAAGTGTACAGTTGACACTACAACCGTTCACGATGGGGTGTTCATGTCCATCTAGGTTGTGAACCATTATTCTTGTTTCACGAGTAACTGATAGAGTGATCTTCGGTTCGCCCGATGACGACCCACCCTATCTAATGCAAAACAACAGAACGTAGAACTTGTTTAATCTAACATGATTCTGATTCATAAAGAATAAAAGTGTAATATCATCCAAAGCCAAGCTTTAAGTATATAACACCAACAGGCGGTTCGTCGACTGCCTTCTCCCGGGGTTGATGAATATATATTGATCACGAGGTCTCGATTATCACGAGATCTTCTACTGTATATCTCAAACACCCTCTTCAACTTGTACCCTTGGAGCAACAAGGAAAAGATAAAGCTCGAATGAGAACTAAGAGAGAGAGAGAGAGAGAGAGAGAGAGGGTGCAGACTATTATTCACGTGAATTGTGAAATCTGTTCTCTTTTCATAAGCTTAATGATGTATATATAGAGCTACAGTAGGGACCCTTAGGAGATTAAGAATATGGCTCCTTAATTAATAAGACTAACTGTGGCCCAAACCCACTCTTCTAGTTAATTAGATAATATTATGGGTCACCAACATAATATTATTGCACTCCATTTTCCTAGCCCAGTTTACAAATGAGACTCCAATAATAATTACTCGAACTACCACCCCATGTTTAAGATATAATGTCCATTAATTAATTTGATTCATGATAATCAAGAATTAATTAATTTATTATTATTTCACCGAAACAATTGCTCGTTCATCACATTCTTCCCTCTGGTCGAGAACGGCGCTGCCATTTTGAGCGAGAGGAATAGCGACCTTATCCTCCGGTGCAACAAGCTGCGTGAAGCACTGGCGGCGTCTAAGTGGGAATGCTCAGCGGTAAATAAGAATGATGAAGAGGCCGAGGAAAACATCAAGGCCCTCGAGGAAGCCCTTGCCACTAAAGACAACGAAAACAAGGCTCTCGAGGGTAGCAAGAAATCTCTCGAGGATCTACTCGAGGCTGAAGAGGGCTGCTCGAGCAAAGGAGATGCGACGCGTGAGCAGGAGAGATAGCGGTTAACTAACCTTCCCTTCAGGCTCGCCAAATGCTGTGACACACTACGGTCGGGCAGCGCTTCCTACAGAAATACCGTGAACAAGTGGTGGCTGACTCCATGCAGTCACCACAATATTTTAAGAAAGTACAGGACCTCGACAATGATTATTTCCAGTTTGCTATGACAAAGGCTGCTGAGCAAACGGTCGAGGATGATTTTGAGGAGCTCGATATACAGGGCATATGGGACTATGCCCAAAGTTCCTCAGAATTTCCACGGTGACCCCGACTTACCTCGTACTCATGAATGATGGTCGGGCATCCTCGATCGTACTTTGGCTCGAGCCGATATTC